TGGTTCCTCTGGGTTACAGGCATTAGAAAAATTATCATATGTGCGTGTGTGTAAAAATATAATTTTTGCTGAAAAGCTCAGGTACAGGTAATGAATTAAGTAAATAAACACCGAGAGTTAAATGAAAAAACAAGAACTATTGCGCATATTAATGATCTACAACATAATAATAAATAAAGAGCAAGTTGATGCAACAAAGGGCCTACTAGAAAAATGTTATTAAAAGACTACAACAAATCACTAATGTAATCAGATAATAGAATGGGAATAATAATGAAAAAAACATTGACCCAATTATCTATTGTCCCATTTCCCTCCTTTCTTTACCTCAACAACATTTGCAGCAATGAGATTCTTTAAGCAGACCCACAAAAATACCCAGAGTGCATCAGTGCAAACATCAGGCCTCATGTCTCACTATCTCACCACACATCCGCTCCTCTCTAAGCCGTGATGAATCTGCAGTGTAGAATTAATACTTGGGACTGAGCTGTATATATAGATAAACTGTGAATGAAGCTGGGCCATCGTTCCCTCAGCGTTCCACCGAATGACGGAGTGCCCTACTTACAGCCTCTCCTCTGGGCGCTGACTGCAGGCCTGTTCAATGAAGCCTTTTGCGGCGCAAGCTTAAAAAAAAGCATCCGCCTTACGTGATGCGAGTTCATCATTAAGGTGAAGACATGTTGTAAATCTGGCTTAAATTATGCAAATGGGCCGAGAGGAAGAAATTTACTGCGATCCAATAGACCTGCAGTCACACTAGAACCACAGACATAAAGCATTGCTTTGGGACAATATGTAATATACAACACAGGTTATGAATGCACCTGGATAGTGTTTTGTGTATTTTTATTTCCTTCTGGTCAATATTTTGCAGAACTTCAATTACAGCTGGACCAGCTGGTCAACTGTTGGGATGCGTCTACAACCACTTCTGCACATGAGGAAACTGAAAGTATTTACGTATTTACGTCAAACACACGTTCAAACACACGTTCAGCTCTAAGTTTTCAAAAGTCAGGACTGACTGAGTCATACATTTGAGCTGTTTACATGGCTGAATGTTTGGGGTCGTTGTTCTGCAGGAGGCCGAGTCCTCCGCTGCCTAATTGCTCTGTAATCTGCCTTCCATCAACCCCGATCAACTTCCTCTCCCTCACTAAGGAATGCCATATCACAGTGTAGACTCCTTGTTCAAACTGTTGAAGGTTTTTTGACCTCCTGACCAAATCCTCCTCTACTTGTTTGCTGTGTTTTTACTTGACTTCTTGTCTTTTTATTTCAACAGTAGGTCTCCTCCAGAAAACTTCCATATATAAACAGATTGATTCATCAGTAATTACATCCTGTCCTGGATGGTCTTGAAAAAATAAAGAACTAAAATCAGAAATGACTAGAAAAGTTGTTTATACTCCAAATGAAGCTATACACCTGAGTTCCTTATAGCCAAGGACACTCTGTACAAGAGATAAAGCAAAGAGGACATTTTCCCTCTGTGGATGATCACAAGACAGTCCACTTCTGCACAAGAAATCTTTTTTAGCAGTTCAGGAAAGGTGGAGGATAAATATAAAAGAAGCATATGTGTCCTTTTCTGGGTTGAGGGTGACCGAGGGCAACCCACATCCTGCCTATTTTTAGAGTAACCCTGCTTTGTTCCTCCATAAAGCTCAGCCTCATCGTACCTGACTTTCAGGCTGACACCTGAGGGATAGTCTAGCTGGAGTTTCCAGTCCAGCAATGAGAGAAAAAAAACACAGAGCCTTACCGATCAGCGACTTTCTCCCACACACGCCTGAAGTAAGAGGGCCATTGACGGTCCAAATCATAATTAATATCCTCTACTTTGTTAATACTGCAGTGATGCAGAAGGAAGCTTCCCACAGATTACAGAACTATCAAGTTAAAACTGAGGATGATCCTCTGATGATCAGAGACTCTTTTAACAGAATAACATCTGGATCTATATTTAGATCTAATATGTTTTAAAAAAAGGCTGCATGAGGCTTTGAAATGGTTGATGTTGACTTCTCTTATCTGACCTTTGACACAGTGGATGCATGATATGACAGCCTGCTCTGAAGCTATTTTAAGTGTTTTTTTTTTATCTGAAAGTAGAACCTTTTGTTTGCAGCAAGAGCGGCGAGAAACGACTAATGCAGCGATCAAAAAGATACGCCGCCGCCTCCATACGGCAAATGGTAAAAATGAAACAGAAAGAGATCGAGCCCTGACATCTTCCAAACTTCATCACAAAAAAAGTCTGTGAGACGCCGTCCTGCTGAGACACCTTATACTTTGTGGCGCAGCTCCATCGCAAGTTGCCATGGAGACGGACAAACAAAGCAAGATTATATTTAGCTGGAATTTATTACAAAATTAATTGGCGGTGTTAATTTCTTTTTTTTGGGGGGGGGGGATATTTATAGATACAGTACTAGCAGAGCCGCGACTGAAATACAAGCTAAGGAGGTTTGGGGAATTAGTTTAGCAGGACTGCTTTGTGTTTACCAGCTTTGAGGTGGGAGTTGTGTAAAGGAGAAAGTGACACAGTGATGCTGACGCCCAAGATCGGTGAACTAAACAGGGATTAGCTGACGGGCATATTCAAACAGGTTTATGAGGAGGACCTCAAAGGAAGCTTTTAATCGAGGGCACTTCAGCCACACAGTCACTAAAAACCCACCTGAATGCTTTTATCTCTGCTTCTGGTGACTTCAATGTTACAAATCAGCATCATCTATTATTTGCCTTTTAATTCCTGTTTTCTTTTGCTTTGGGTCAGATCTGCTTTATAAATACAGTTCAGCTGAGTCATACAAAGATTTGTGCTGTTTAAAAAAATCAAACTTATTACTCATAACATTACGCCTAAAGTCGAAGGCAATATAGGTCGTTATGAGTAGAAATCCTCTCTTTAAACATCTGCAGTATTTCACTAAAGCTCCATACATCATTTCTCCTCCTCACCCCACTGAGCACAGGTTAAAAAGTTAGAATAATAATAATAATAAACAACATCCATCATAGCTCTCCTTGAGTTGCTCCACACCGCGAGTCAATAGGCTGAAATAAGACTTTTCTCAGAGGACAAATAGGTTGTTTGGAGCTTTACGTGAAAAACTTGAATAATCAGGAAGTAGAAACTAAAGAAGGATCTATTTGATTGTAATAAAAGGTAATCCTGTGACAAAACTACAGCTGCCAAGCTAAAAGAGGCCTTCTGTTTTAGCATGTGACAGCAGATTCTACCTAAACAGACACTCAACCATTAAACAGCTGATATCAGCTTTTTTTTTTTTTACACACCTGGTTTCATTCTATTAAACATTAAGTACACATTCTGAAGAATAAGCACATCTGTTTATTCTGTATTTCTGCTAGGACTGCAGCTAACGAATATTTTGCAAATCGATTAATCTGACGATTATTTCTTTGATTATTGACTAATAATCAGACAGCAAAAGGTTCCTTAAAAATACTTTTTACAATATTAAACGAATGCAAAATGTTTTTGGTATAATTGCTGCTCTAAATGGGTCGCTCTGTCAGCTAAAGGCGTTTTAGGGTCTCCAATTAACGATTGAGTACTAAATTAGTTGATGATTATTTCAATAATCAATTAATCACGATTAATCTGATTTGTTGTTTAACCCCTAATTTCTGATTGAGGAAAATAAGAAAAAGCTCAAAGCTTAACTAACCATAATAAGCAATTGTTGTTGTTTTTTCTAAACTGCTTAAAACAAACAAAGCCCTTTAAAGTCTTGGAATAAACTTTGGGTAAATAACAGTGAAAATCTGTACCTTCCTTTCAATAAAGATTATCCTGGTCCCTCCCTACATTACATTATGCTGAACAAATTCCACGTTAATCCAAAACCTAATTAAGTTACTATTAAAAAGCTAACTATTTTGCTTTTATATGTCTATAAAATACTTGACTCTAAAGCACTGCAGAGATTACATTTAAATCAAGGAGATTATGTGCTAAAAAACCAACACTCTAAGGGTATTTTCCTTACGGAAAAGTGACTCAAAATGACCCGCAAACCCAGAATGTCTCTTCTGTAACCAAACTGCCTGTTTCATATAGAAATCCACTCTCTTTTACAGTTTCTCCTCTCACAAACACTGTAACACCACCTCAGCTTCTACTACTATTAACTATTAACCACAGCTAAAAGGCTGGGAAGGTCAGATAAAGATATTTATAAATCCTGTGTAATGTTAAACTATCCAAAACAGCTCAATAAAAAAAATCTTGTTTTTTGATAAAGATTGCAAAATATGTTGATATGCATTATAACTATATAATATACAGTTAACAAAAGGCTTGGTAGCAAAAAAAATCATACAATAGTGATTTTTTTTCTTCACTGTCTAAACTAAACATTTCTGCCACAAATATGATTTTTACAATGATGCCATCACTCCTCATGCTTTAAGTTTAAATAATAGGAAGTAATCAGCTCACAGTTTAACTTTCACTTTACATACAAATAAGAAATGAATTGATGTAACACATGGTGGAAATAAATAAAAAAATCATCGGTTTGTTTTGCAGATGATGAAGGCGGATTGAATTAAATATTCATTAACGGGGGCCAAACTCCACAGGGAGAAAACCACAGGTGGCCCCCAGCACAGACAGCTTCTGTTGCTCAACAGCAGCCAGCACAGCAAAGCCTTGAAAAACTTGTTCTCTAAATGTCTGCTATATTCCCTTGAGTTTACACAGCCTCATTAGGCTCAGGTGTCGCAATTAATGCGCATAATCAGACTCTGTTACACACCAGCTGAGCTGGGTCACTAGATAAGAAGAAGGGTCCATTAATAATTCTGTCGACAGGGATATTTCAGTTGAGGCAGACGGAGCGTAGTAGGCGCTGACAAGTCAGCCGCTTCATTCAAACGGAAGCTAGCAAATAATAAAAGGGGGGAGGGCAGCTCAAACACCCACTTTAACACGAGTTTTAGTAAATATAAAAACTTACGGTTCTAAAGGTGAAAGCTACAGCACCGCTTCCCTCCTCGCCAAACGGTCCAGTGCTGGGTTCGGGATTGAAAGCCTCCGAGTTGAACGGAGTTAAAGGGGGGGAGTCAGGTGAATGACGTGCCTCTGAGCCAATGAGATTTGAGGAAGGTTGGGAGGAGGCGGAGGCGATAGAGGAAAAAGGGGGACGGGCACGTCCTTTGACCTGACCGGAATTGTGACGTAGGAGAAAATGTGACCCACCACAGCCAAATCAATCAAGGTGAAAGTGAGTAAGGCAGGACGTTTGAGTATTTAATCAAACTCGTTTCACGGGATTTTTCAGAGTCGCTGTGACATAATGATCAGAATTAAAATATATGGGGGGTTTTAGACAAGAACATGGTCTATTACTACCATTGACAGAAGATATCTCGATCACATTGTTCAAAGAACTGAAACTAATATTCTAAAGTCTCCACAAACAGGACCGCTCACATTAAAAATTAAAATAATTAGGAATTTTTAAAATATATATATCAATAGAACAAATGATTCAGAAAGCCTGGATTTATATAAATTATGTTTTTTTCTGGTTTGAAACTATGTAATTACAAAAGCCTCTTATAAGCTGCTTAGAAGCAGAGTCCTTCTAACAATTCCCTGTAGGTTCCCTGAGGCAGACAGATATCTAAAAGTTGCAGGACAGGAGCTCTTTCTTTGTGTATAGGGTGTTCAATTTCTTCCTGCTCTTGTTCTTTGTCCTCTTTAACAGGTTTTCTTCCCTTCCAGGATGGAACTTCATTCATTTCTATACATCGTCTAATCAATACTGACCAGTCTATTTATCACCACTGAAGAAGAACATCCCCACAGCATGATGCTGCCACCACTCTATTTCATGCTGGGGATAGGGTGTTTCTACAGATGTGAAGTATTTGGGGTTTTTTGCCACATAGGTTATTTTACATACATCAAAGAAAGTTCAATTTCAGTCTCACTAGGCCTGTGCATCTTCTTCCACATTTTAGCAGTCCCATTCTTTTAACTTCTAATAGCTGCTGTTTATCTTATTGCAATGATGAATTGAAGTCAGAACTTTGACTGGGCCCTTCTAGCCATTAAATAATTAATTAAGTCTTTCTGAAATCACTAACAAATCATTCTCAATGATCTCTTTCTATTTAGAATAGAATAGAAAATCCCATTATTGTCCCACAATTTGGGAATTATGGTGTTTACAGCAGCAAAAAGATTATAGAAAACATTGTCACACAAATGTGTACCTTAGACAAATGTATAAGAATAACATAACTGTGAAGAGTTATAAGTTAAACAATAAAATACTGTACTGTAAAGACTTTTAACAATATAAAAACCATGCACCTGGAGAATAAATAGCCAATGTACAGCTATGGACATTTTTACAGTAATGGATATTTGAAAATAGCAGTAACATCAGAGATGAGTGACTTAGTTGGCTAAACATGACAGAAGCATGTTATTTAACTTAAAATCAGCATTAATGTAACAACATATTGAGGTTGTTGGGAACAGTGCTGGTTATAAAGTCTTACAGCTGCTGTGAGGAAGGATCTGTGATGACGCTCCCTGGTTCATTTTAGTGTGCAGCAGTCTGTCACTAAAGGAGTTCTCACGTTCTGCAACAGTTTCATGCATGGGGTGGGAGACATTATCCGACAAAGATGTGAATTTAATTATGATCCGTTCAGCTCTATTCCTCTCCTCATCAACCATGGCTAGATTCCCTGTATCCAAACCTATGCTGCCACCACTATATTTTATTTCAAGATGGATTAGTTAGTTTTCCAGCACATTTAATTAAGCAGTTAGGTCAGATTTTATTTTCCTCTTAATATTGCAGTGTCCTTGAAATGGAGATCTCTTAAACATTTCTGTTATTATAGCTCTCTTGTTGTTACTCTTCCATAAAGACTAGATTTGAAGAAAAGATTTTCTCTAATAGTTTAATAGCACACAGGCTGGTTCCAAGTATTGCTTTTTATCTAGGTGTATCGGATGAAGGAAAAATACAGATAGATGCTACACTCAGATTTTATATTTATTTTCCTGTGCACCTACACTTATACTCTAATTTTTGTTGGTCTGTAAGACAAAATCCCAAGAAAGTATATTTGGATATCTAAGATTAAACTGGTAATAAAGAAATTACCAATACGATTATAAAGATCTAAAATTAGTTTTTCCGTTTCTAAAATAAGTCATTTGTCTTTCAAAAAACACAAATAAGACAAGAAATGCTGATGTTTGATAGGGAATGCTTTCAGATATCAAAATCTCTTCTTTGTTTAAACATGCTAACTATTTACAGTTAAACTGACTTGCCATAAGTTCTGGTTGAGTGCTAGTGCAAAGAAAGTGAACTGACACTGGTTTCAGTTTTCACAACAAACATTCTAGATTTAAAGCTGATATCTACTGAGTGAATTTATGAAGTTTTGTGCTGAGGGCAAAAATTACTATGGATTTAGTGTTAAAAATGATTTGTTCATCTGTACCAATATTAAATTGTACAAAGATGGGTGTGTGAGCTGCTGTCACTGGACAAAAGCAACTTTATTCTGACTGAGATTTGGCCTGCCTTCATTGTCTGCTTCCTTTAATTGCCTAACAACGCATATCCAATGACTGGTGATTTTCCTAAGAGTTCAGATTGCAAAAGACTGTGCACACAACTGCTGAGTGTACAGTGACTAAGAGAAGTTAAACAGTTGTATGATTGGATGAGGAAAAAATGAGGATGCAGGAAAACATAGTAGTGTTTATTTGTGTATTTCCCTAACCTGGTGAGTTTTATTTGTTGTTTTTTGTACCTGAAAGCTGGGCTCCTATGCTGTCCTTGTGTCTCAACGATCCACCTTCATGCTTTGGATTTGTTTACTCAACAAAACAAATTCCCCTCCTTTGCATGAGTATGAGGCTGATTTCCTGCCCAGGCTTATTTCTATGGCAACAGAATGTAGTGAAAACATGGAAAAAGTAGACGGCTGTGGTGGTGGTGGTGGTAGGGAGGTTCTGTCTGTCAGAGAAAAGAGCTGGGCGTGTCAAGAGACTACGACAAAATTCCAGCAGTGTTTGGTGTGTGAGATGTAGGCCTCTTGTGTGGAGATTGGACAGACAGAGTGTGGCAGCTGCTTTCATGTGACATGGCGTTCAGAGTGAAAGGGACATTGTTATCTGGATTTGTATCTCAGGTATTTCCATTGTCAAACCAAAGTGGATGACTGTGCACTCATTGAAGAATTGCAGAAAGGAACACAACCTGACCTGCCTGCAGGAGAGTTACTCAAAACATTGCAAAGATTAATCCCAATCTCATAAATGTTGACGCATAGAGAAGATCTAAGTGAAGAGGAGCAAAGAGTACATCACTCTCAATATGCATGTGGACATTTTTAACATGAATTCTGCAGATATTTATATTACTGGGGCCATCTTTGTTAATTACACACCTTGGGAAGAATACAAAGCCTGCTACAGATTGTGTATTAGAGCGCCACCTGTTGGTCCACTTTGGTAACTGCACAGTGAGGGGCTTCTGCTCAGGTTGAAAGCTCAGGCATCCAGGAACACAACCTTCAATTTGCCTCATGGCCAGTTAGATCAAAGTATTTTTTTGTAGTGGACTGAATCCTTGATTCCTCCCCTGCAACCCTGATATCAGTTCCTGCAGATGTGCTGCTTTCTTTTTGTTTCTGATTAAAGGTGAAGGATTTCCCTGATAAAGGTCAGGAAGAAATTTAACAAGTTTATCAGAGTTTTATAGTGAAAATAGTTTCTTATTTTTCTTGTTTCTTCTTCCTAATTTTTCTTCTTTACTTACTTTAAAGGTGCAGATGGGCAAAATTCAATGTTTGTTTGTTTGTTTTTTTAGTACATTTGATGCTTTTGAATACTGTATCACATTCAACATACAACAGGTACAAGGTAACTGTTCATTCTCAGAGTCTATTCCAGGGTTTCCTTGCTTGATTTTAAGCAGTTTTTAAAGCAAACTCCTTCTGGATGCTATGATCCATAATTTATGTCCCTCCACTATTCTGTCACTTTTATATGCATCCCTTCTTTAACACACCTGAATTCCTCATCAGCCTGTCATTCAACTGTACACATGCTGTCTAAGTTGTCCCCTGACCCTAACAGCTGGATATCGGCACCCTCCCCCTGCAACCCTGCAAATAGGCAGGATTATGCCATTAAAGGTTGATACATCATCCGCCTGATATTTTTGGCCAATAATTGCATCACAATCAGCCAATACGTGCATGTCTTTGTCGATTCATTGATGCCTTCAGCTAGAGGTGTCAAAAGTATTGTTTATTACTCAAGTAGAAGTTTAAATCTTACTGTTTAAAAACACTTTTGTAGAAGTCAGAGCATCAACATCAGGTTTTTATTCAAGTAAAAGTGTCGAAGAATTATTTTTAAAACGACTTAAAGTACAATATAAAAATAAAAGTAATACAGGAAAATGTTAAGGACAGATGCTTTACTCTAGTAGCCTATTGAAGGAAAACTTTTCTACAAATTCCGTATACTTAATTTTCTTAGTTTTATAACTGATCTGTCATGTGTCACAGTGTCAAATTGAACTTTGCATCATCTTGAAAAACTATTGATTTTGGTACGTGACGAACAACAAGTTGGTGCAGTACTGAGTAAAACCACAAAGAAATAGTCTTATATGAAACAATTTTTTTATGGCTTTTTTTAAATACCTCCAGTCCATAACAAAAATGAGCTAAAATGAAAGAAAACTAAGCAGTCTATTTTTAAAATGTAAGGAGTAGAAGTAAAAAGTTGCCTAAAAAGTAATTACTCCAGTAAAGTATAAATAGCTGAAATTTCTACTTAATGTAGCAAAGTATTTGTAGATTGTTAGTTGACACCTTCGCCTTTAGCAGCCTTGCCTTCAGATCATGCATTGCCGCTCCTTCCATTTGTTTTTCTTGTTAATGATTTGCTTGACCAGTTAATAAATGTTTATTTTTTTACATTGAAGCTTGTATAAAACATTTGTTATTATGTTATTTCAATGATATAAATGAAGGGGGACAAAGCAACATTGGTATCAAAAAGCGGCGTCTAAATAATATGCAGC